TGGGAATAATTAATGAGGTTATGCAAGTAAAGCCCTTGACACAGTACCTAGCAAACAGCAGAAGCCCCCCAAAATAATACCTGTTGAAAGCTATCACCTTTTCTTTCAAACTTTTTAAAAAATATTATCTTTATTATCTTTTGAGACCGAGTCTCACTCTGTTGCCCAGGATGGAGTGCAGTGGCGCAATCTTGGCTCCCAGCAACCTCCACCTCCCGGGTTCAAGCAATTCTCATGCCTCAGCCTCCCAAGTAGCTGGGATTACAGGCACACACCACCATGCCCAGCTAATTTTTTTGTATTTTTAGTAGAGACGGGGTTTCACCATGTTACCCAGGCTGGTCGTGAACTCCTGAGCTCAGGAAATCCACCCGCCTTGGCCTCCCAAAGTGCTAGGATTACAGGCGTGAGCCACTATGCCGGGTCTCAAAAACTATTATGTCAGGGTCAGACACAATAAAGAAACCTTGTATGTTAATAATGATGTACAAAATAGCCTACAATTAGACCTGGATGTAAATTTCAACTTTAGGCAATTTACTCTTCTGAGCATCACTTTCCTCATCAATGATAAAAATAACTTTGAACTTAAAATAAAATGAAATAATGAATACATGTAAACAACTAACATAGTGCCAGGAATATAGCAGCTTAATAAATGATGGCTATTATTTTTAAAGCAAATGAGTAGCACAAAGACAAATAACTTCTCTTGATGGAATTTTTAATAGTAAGGGATACTAGAAGTTAGTGATCAGTGTATGAAGTCTATAAAAACAGATTTGATGAAAAAAGGAATATTTTTCTTCTTTATTAGTATCAATAGCTACTATTAATTGAGGTCAAGTTTGGACTGTTTGCTTTACCCATATTATTTCATTTAATTCTCTCAATAATGCCACAAAGAACATATAATAATCCCCATTTTACAGACGTTGAAACTGAGGTTCAGAGAGATTAAGTCACTGTCCAAGGACATGGAGCTAATAGCCAAGCTCTATTTTAGCAGAACTGTTCACAGAGGTTTGGCTCAGAGTGAAGTTTCTATATCTAGGTTTTTCCCTAATAAAACCAATGCCTAATTCATACTTACAACCAAATATGGCTGTAGAATAATGAGTAGTTTTTTATTTCAGTCTACAGGATCTCAATCTGGCTGCTCCATTTAAGATAGGTTTCCTGGTGTTCCTGTTGCAGGTCATAATACCAACTCACAAAGCAACAGGAAATCAAAATGGGTTAGAAATAAACAACCTTTGACAGAAAACGCAGCACCCAAAAGCAGACCCAGTACACGTGAACCGGAAGACAACTCTATAAATAAACCACATTGCTGAAACGCGTAAGGCGTAGATTTTAATTGCGCAGAAGTCAGAAAATTTCAAAGTGGAAGTTCAATAAAGGCAGTCCTTTAGGTCCTTTACCTTAAGGGTGTACAAATTAACATTCTGTTCAGCACAGATAAAAGAATTAAAGTTGAAGAAAAATTTGTTGAGATCCCAAGTATTCGCCAACAAAATTAAGCTATACATAGAAGCAATGTGGGGAAGTGTCTGAGCTTTGGACGCAGTCTGGAACTGGAATCTCAATTCCTCCACTTACTAGCTGTGTGACCTTGGGGAGGTCATTTAGCCTCTCTGAGCTACAGCTTCCACATCATCATCATAGTGATATTAATGAGGCTTTAAAAAGATAACAATAATGACAACAATACCTAACATTTATATAACAATGACTACGTGACAGAAACTATTCTAAGTGGCTTACACACGTTAACTCATTTGAGCCTCATGATAACCCTGAAGTACTATGATTATTCCCACTTTACAGATAAGAAAACAGAAGCAAAAATCTGCCTAAGATTTGAATTCAGGCAATCCAGCTTCAGAGTCTATGTTGTTAACTGCTATACTATGCATATAAAACACTCAGCATGGCTGGGAACAGTGGTGGGTGCCCATAGTCCGAGTTATTTGGGATGCTAAGGAAGATCACTTGAGACCAGGAGTCCAAGGCCAGCCTTGGCAACATAGTGAGACCTAATCCCTTAAAAACAGCAACAAGCCGGGCGCGGTGGCTCACACCTGTAATCCCAGCACTTTGGGAGGCCGAGGTGGGCAGATCACGAGGTCAGGGGATCAAGACCATCCTGGCTGACACAGTGAAACCCCGTCTCTACTAAAAATACAAAAAAAAAAAAAAAAAATTAGCCAGGCATGGTGACGGGTGCCTGTAGTCCCAGCTACTTGGGGGGCTGAGGCAGGAGAATGGCGTGAACCCGGGAGGTGGAGCTTGCAGTGAGCCGAGACCGTGCCACTGCACTCCAGCCTGGGTGACAGAGCGAGACTCCGTCTCAGAAAACAAAAAACAAACAAAAAACACCAGCAACAAAACACATACACACAGTACAATGCCTGGCATCCGGTAGGTACACAATAAATTGTAGCTATTATAACAGCATTCCGACTATTAATTTTTTTTTTTTTTTTTGAGACAGAGTCTCGCGCTCTGTCACCCAGGCTGGAGAGCAGTGGTGCAATCTCTGCTCACTGCAACCTATGCATTGCGGGTTCAGGCAATTCTCCTGCCTCAACCTCCTGAGTAGGTAGGACTACAGGCACCCGCCACCACGTCCAGTTAACTTTTGTATTTTTTAAGTAGAGATGCGGTTTCACCTTGTTGGCCAGGCTGCTCTCGAACTTCCAACCTCAGGTGATCTGCCCGCCTCGGCCTCTAAAAGTGCTGGGATTATAGGCATGAGTCACCACGCCTGGCCTGAATTTTTTTTTTTTTTTTTTTTTTTTTTTGAGACACAGTCTCACTCTGTCGCCCAGGCTGGAGTGCAGTGGTGTGATCTCGGCTCACTGCCACCTCTGCCTCCAGGGTTCAAGCGATTCTCCTGACTCAGCCTCCCAAGCAGCTGGGATTACAGCCGCCTGCCGCGACACCCAGCTAATTTTTGTATTTTTAGTGGAGACGGGGATTCACCATGTTAGCCAGGATGGTCTCGATCCCCTGACCTCGTGACCCACCTGCCTGGGCCTCCCAATGTGCTGAGATTACAGACTGAAACATTTCTGTTAACTACTTGAAGCACACATTCTTTTTCCAAAGTTGAGGATCTCAAAAGATTTCCCTGTTCTTCACAGAAGGTTCATTTTAATTTTGGCTAGATGACCAACCCAAAGTCGTGGCTTATCCAGTCCCAGCAACTCCTTTCAATCCAGCTGTATACTAGCTTATAACATAAGCACTTTTATGAGTGTGCATATACACAAGCCCTTGTATATAAAATACTTTCACATGTATCATCTTATTTGGTTCTCATAATAACTAAACAGTGTTAATCACCACCAGTATTTTACAAAATAAGAAAAGTGATCTTTCACTTCTCCAGCGCTCCCCCTGCTCCAGAGTCTTCAAACATGCCATTGAATCTCCTTGACGATCTTCCCTCACTTCTTTAACTGTTTGTCTCCGCTTTTATTTCAGATTTCAGCTTAACCATCACTTCCTCAGAGGACGGCTTCCTTGGCCATCTCCTACAGCCCAACTAGGTCAAGTGTCCTGTAGTCTGCTTTCACAACACCCTTAACTTCATCATAGCACTTAATTTTTAACCAAAAGCCAGTATTTATGTAATTACTTGATTAATTCCCTCCATATGACTATAAGCACTACAAGGACTAATCTATGATTTTCTTGTTCACTGCTGTATCCCCAGTACCTAGTACATTGCCAGAACACAGAAGACACTGTGAATGTGATGAATACATCAGTGAAAGTCCAGAAAGATTAATTCCTTGTCTAGGGTCAACCAGAATAGGATTGGAATCTACCCTTACTATGGTAGGTTCTGGGCTTCCCAGCGTTGCCTTCACTGTCTCTTGGTTTGCCACACTTTTGCTTAGAGATAGTAGAGCATGTTCTTCTCTAAATGCAGTGCCAGGTAAAGAAAGGTACTTGTAGTACCTGACTATACACAGAATCATCATGCACCTGGCACGGCCAAAGAATGAGACAGGTGCAGAAAGGGCTTTTGCCTAAGAGTTAAGACATCTGGATTCCAATATGCCTACCTTATCACTCCCTGCCATCTGTCATTTAGATTCATAATCACACGTATTCAAAAAGCATTTGCGGCAGCTCTACCAGTGACTTGTGACTTGTACCAAGTGATTTCTCCTAGATTTTGTTTCAACCATAAAATGAAGGGGTCAGATCAGGTTTTCATTCTTTCCAACTATAAAGCTTTCCAAAATTGGGGGAAATGCAATAGTGTGGTTTGAAACAAAAAAAGGCACTAAACTTAGAGAAAACTCTGAAAGAAGTCTTGGTTCCAGCACTTCCTAGACACGTGACCTTAAATCGGTCAAACTCTCAGGACCTCCGTCTCATCTGTAAAACGTAAATAACCATACTATTAGTCAGGGTTATGTAAATGGAGAAGGGCTACTGAAATGACAGTTGCTTTGCCACTGGGTGGCACAGAGTAGTAGTTAAAAGTTCAGGCTTAAGAGTCGGATAGACCTAGGTCTGAATTTAAGCGCCCTCACTTTCTGACCGCGTGACCCTGGTAAAATTACCTATTTGAGCTTCCGTTTCTTCATTATGGGAGGTAATAATATCTACTCCTACGGGATTGTTCTGAACCTCAAACGTTCCCGTCAAGTGTGAGGCTACTCTTTAGTAAGTTCCTCCGGCAGCCCCTAAATTCCTAGCTGGTAAAAGGAACCCCGCCCCCACCCCATGAGACTCGCTCCAATGCTACAGGTCCCGCCCTCAACCTTAAAGGTCAAGCTGGACTCGAACGGGTCGGGCACGGTAGTCTGGTCCCCTGAGGTCCCCCAGAGGTCCCTGAGTAAGGGTCTCTGGCACTCAGACCACACGCGCACCTCGAGGCCCTGTCAAGGACACTCACCAGCTATCGCCCAGGTTACTAAGGAAAGACTCGTGCGACGGCGGCGACCGCAGCTGCGCGGGCGTCGTGACGTCACGAGGCGAGGAGGCGGCGCAGGCGTAACGCGTCACGGGCGGCCTGGCAGCTGGCGGCATTGAGGCAGACGCGGCTAGAGGTCCGTCTGACCGCGGCGTCGGGACTTGGTTTCCGGGCATGAGCTGAGAGCACCACGCCGAGGCCACGAGGTGAGTTCGGCCGCGACATGTCCCTGCACCTCAGCGCTGGGCCCGCGAAGAGGTCTTACAGGAGGCCGCCCTCCCGGGACTGCATCTCAGGCCCCGCCCCGGATTGTCCTGTCGCTGGCCCGGAAATAACAATCCGAGCAATGACCCCTCGCCTGTGTGAATTCGCAGCCAGAAATCGGGAAGCCAGGGTTCCAGGCTTGGCCAACCGCTTGCTTTTAGAATCAAATGTCTCCTCTTCTCTGGATTGCACTTTCCCCAGATGACTATTTCTGGCTTCCAGGGTTGTTTGCAGCTCAGCTGGAAGGATGAATGTAACCGCGTTTTGTGAACTCTGGTAGTCTAAAGGCTTGTTGCTATTGCAAAAGCAAAGCATTTTGGTAGTCCCATGCCGTCTTGATCTTTTATTACCCTTTACCTTTCCTCAAAAAGCCATATACTGAGCTGTCACCAAAATTGTCTTATTTAAGACTCACAACGACCTCATGAGACAGAAATAATTGTACCCATTCTAGGAAGGAAAAAGAAACTAAGGCTCCGAGTGGAGAAATGACTTGCTTCATTTAGTAAATATTGAGCACCAGCCGTGAGCCAGGCAGTGTACTTAAGTGCTGGAAATAGAACCATGATCAAGATTGGCAAGGTCCTGTCCTGTGGGAGCTTATGTTCTAGTGAAGGAAACAGAAAGGGAAACGTTAAATAATACATTGAGTTAGCATTATATAGGAGGAAAAATGTGGAAAGGTGGCTATGATATAGAATAACAAGGGACTCTGTTAAGGAAGGCTTTTCTATGGAGAGGATACTTAAAGATCATGTGACTTGCTAAAGGCACAGTTACTAGGTGCAAAAGTCAGGATTTGAATCCAGACCCACATATCCTGCACTCTTAGCAGTAAAACATGGTACCTTTTTGTAGTAATAAGTACTAATAGCTATTGGTATTATTGCTGATTTTAGACATGAGAAAATCAGAATGTCCTGTCATTCAAGTCTCAAATGTCATCTCCTTTAGAGAAGCCTTCCCTCCACTCAATCTGAAGTCGTCCAGTGCCTGTCACATCACCCTGCTTAATTGTGTTTGTGGCGTGTATCACTAATTATATCTTCTTTATTTATTTTGCTTTTGTTTTGTCCTGCTCGCCTTCCAAACATAGGCATCCGGAGGATAAGGACCTTGCTTGTTCACTGCTCTGACTCCAGTAACTAGATAAGTCCTAGATAATAGAAACAGTGAATTTATTTTTTGAATGAATGATTTGTTTAAAAAGTAGGGAAAAAGGAAAGCAGAGAGAAGACAAAATGTGTCTCCCCTGGGATTAAATTTATATCTATTTTGCCTTTCTCCCAGGAGGTTAGAACAAGAGCTGTGTCTTTTTCATTTCTCTATTTCAGTACATAGCCCAGAGTTTAACAGTTCCTAGTTGCTTGGCTTACATTGCTGAACAGATTAAAGATGTGAATGGGAAAGGAAGAACAATACCTCATGTGCAGGGTATTCAATAAACAATTAACTAGGGACTGCTGTGCTAGACTTTATAGGGTGTGCTGAGATGAATAAGAGGTAATGCCAGTTGTTGTGACTGACCTCACGGTTCCTGTAGTGCTGACCTCCGAGGCACTTCTGGGTATAGGACACATGTTCTCTAGCAGGGATTTCTGAATTTTGGCACAGCCTGCTCTCTTACCAGCCCCTAAAGCTTTATTTTACATCTGTCATCTCATTTTTGGTCCTTGAAGCCTTAAGTTTTAAACAGGGCAAAATTTATTAAAGATGGGGAAACTGAAGCTCAGAGAGAAGTAACTTCCAGTGGAAATACCACAATTTGTGCTGGGCATGGTGGCTCACACCTGTAATCCCGGCACTTTGAGAGGCCGACGTGGGCGGATCACTTGGGGTCAGGACTTCAAGACCAGCCTGGCCAACATGGTGAAACCCTGTCTCTACAAGAAAATACAAAAATTAGCCAGGCTTGATTACAGGCAGGTATGCGCCTGTAATCCCAGCTACTCGGGAGGCTAGGGCACGGGAATCGCTTTAACCAGGGAAGTGAAAGCTGCAGTGAGCCGAAATGTGCCACCACCCACGAGCCTGGACAACAGAGGAGAGTCTGTCTCAAAAGAAAGAAAGAAATGCCACAATTTGAAACAATGTCTTCTGACGCCAAGCTTTCTGCTCTTTCTACTGCTGTCTCCATCATAATCCTGTGTTCTCCTTGACTGTGAGATGAGACATTTCAGGAACTAAGACTAGTAATAATTTAAGCTAACATTAATTGAGTGCTTCCTAGGTGCCATGCACGGTTCTAAATGCTTTAGGTATATTAACCCAGTGAATCTGCACCCTAATTTCATGAGGCATTATTCCCGTTTTACAGATGAGGGAACTGAGGCCAACAGTGGTTAAGTAACTTGCACAGAGCTACATAGCTAGCAAATGGTGGAACTTGACTAACTAAGGAGGAAATTAGTCTCTTCTTCCTGGTCTGTCCCAAAAGAACAAACATGATAATAGCTAGTATTTATTGATTACTTACTGTTGTTAGATACAGTATTTAGTGATTTTTTACTGTCTTTAATCTTCACAACAACTCTATAGAATAAGCACTGTTCTCTCTTTAGATAATGAGGAAACTGAGGCCTAGAAAGTTCAGGTAGTTCATCAAGTCACACAACCTGCTTTCAAACCCAGTTCTGTCTATGCACAGATTTCTTATATGGCCTCTTCTCTTTGCTATATTGTCTCTTCCTTGAGGAAAAGGGATGGAGTGCTGCTCCTCCCTGCCCATCCCTTTTAATGCCATTAAGACTCTTCCTGGTGGTTTCCAAGGCTTATTTTGGGTGACAGTTGTTGAACTAAAGTATCATGTAGTAATAGAGACTTTGGCCTCCTGCCCAGTCAGCCTCTGGCTACAGAGGAGGAAAACTTTAGTTTCTCCACACAGAACCACGCCCCTTTCACCTTAAATGGCAGCTTATGTGCTCTGGCTGCCAGAGCAGTTGTCCCAAGGGAACTGGTTCTGGAGCCCTGGTTGTGGAATCACTGAGGCCTTTGAAGGACTGCCCAGAGGGCATGCCCTCCTTGAGTAAATGTTTGTTGAGTTGAATTTGAAGTCTTGTGTTCACACTTTGTTACTCCCCTCCTGCCTGAATGTTCACATTTCCTTTAGTATTTCATAGACATTGATGGAAGCAGAAACCAAAACTCTTCCCCTGGAGAATGCATCCATCCTTTCAGAGGGCTCTCTGCAGGAAGGACACCGATTATGGATTGGCAACCTGGACCCCAAAATTACCGAGTGAGTCTAAATTACCTTAGTTCTTTACCTACAATATCGGAATGTTTTGTGGTGGTGATGTCAAGAAGAATTTTCAAGTGGTGTGGGATATAGTTTGACCCCTTTACTTACATCTTATCTTTGAAGAGATAAGATGTTGTCGTTAGCCTGTTATCTTGTCACTTTTTTTACATTTGGACTCTGCTACTGCAAGGACACAGACTTGGGTATCCTTTAATCCATATACCTGTTTTTTCCTATCTGCCAAAGACGTTCTCCCATTTCCAACTATTTGAATCCTTGTACCTAGTAGCTCTAGGGAATTATTCTCTAGAATCAGCCTTGGGAATACATTTGTACCCAGAATGAAGGAACAAGCAGAAGTCTCAGTACCTTTGCAAACAGGCAGAGGAGATCCCTTGACTGTAGTTCATGTTAAGCAGCCATAGAACTATAGAAGGTCAGAGTTGTAAGGAACCTTAGAAATCATCCATGTCCCTTTGGTTTTCATTCATTCATTAAATGATTTGAGTGCCAAGTGCCATGCTAAGTAGCTTTCAGACTTCTTAAATCTGAAGAACCCTGTTTTAAAGTAAAAGTAATAATCAGAGCTGTATATAAAATAACAGCTCAGAGTTGCTCTGACTAAAAGGGAGAAGAGATGGAGCCAAAATCTTTTGTCAACTACTACCCTTTCTTTGGCCATCCCTGTTTAGGCTCTGTAGAACTTCTAGGGCTCCACAGAGCACACTTGACAACCTCTGATGGGACCCAGCTTTTTTATCTTACAGTGGAGGAAACCAAGTCCCAAAAGACAGAAGTACCTTGCCCAAGATCACGAAACTGATTGAATTGCCCTGACTCCCTGCTCTTTTACATCACAGCCATTAAGATGAAAAGGAATTTCTTAGCTGAGAAAATTGAAAGGTTTTTCCCTTCTGCCAGTTGTTTGAGAGGGGGAGGGTGGTGGTTGGTGGCCGAGTAGAATGAATGGATTGGCCTGTATGAGGTCAATGCTGAAAGCCAGTTTGTTTGTTTGTTTGTTTCTCTTTTTTTTGAGACAGTTTTGCTCTGTTGCCCAGGCTGGAGTGCAATTGCACAATCTTGGCTCACTGCAACCTCCATCTCCTGGGCTTAAGCGATTCTTGTGCCTCAGCCACCCAGATAGCTGGGACTACAGGCAAGCGCCAGTATGCCAGCTAATTTCTGTGTTTTTAGTAGAAAGGTGGTTTCACCGTGTTGACCAGGCTGGTCTCGAACTTCTTTTTTTTTTTTTTTTTTTTTTTTGAGACGGAGTCTCGCTGTGTCTCCCAGGCTGGAGTGCAGTGGCGTGATCTCGGCTCACTGCAAGCTCCGCCTCCCGGGTTCACGCCATTCTCCCGCCTCAGCCTCCCAAGTAGCTGGGACTACAGGCGCCCGCCACCACGCCCGGCTAGTTTTTTTTTGTGTATTTTTAGTAGAGACGGAGTTTCACCATGTTAGCCAGGATAGTCTCGATCTCCTGACCTCGTGATCCACCCGCCTCGGCCTCCCAAAGTGCTGGGATTACAGGCTTGAGCCATCGCGCCCGGCCGGTCTCGAACTTCTTACGTCAAATGATCCACCCACCTTGGCCTCCCAAAGTGCTGGGATTACAGACTTGAGCCACCGTGCCAGGCCGAAAGCAAGTTTTGAGCATATCATCAGTCCTAGAAGTTACTCCCTTTGGAACAGTGTTAAAGACAAGGGGAGGCCGGGCACAGTGACTCACGCCTATAATCCCAGCACTTTGGGAGAACGAGGCAGGTGAATCACCTGAGGTCAGGAATTTGAGACCAGTCTGGCCAACATGGTGAAACCCTGTCTCTACTAAAAATAAAAAAATTAGCCAGGCATGGTGGTGTATGCCTGTAGTCCCAGCTACTTGGGAGGCTGAGGCACAAGAATCGCTTGAACCTGGGAGGCGGAGGTTGCAGTGCACAGAGATTGTGCCACTGCACTCCAGCCTGGGTGACAGAGGGAGACCCTGTGTCAAAAAAAAAAAAGGTGAAGAGAGGAGATGAGGAAACCTGCTTCTTTGAGTGTGAGATGAGACAAGGTATATATGAGAGTTAGGATTAGGAAAGAGGAAAAAAAGGATATAAACTTATAAATCAGGATTATAACAAAAAGTTCCTTAAACCTACTCAAGCTCATATCAGCCAAATGTAAATACATTTAATTCTCTTAGAAATTATGATGGTATTTAAGATGTGTTGCCCATATATTATGTTATCTTGGTCACAGGGACCCTCGAGTAGATTGCATTTATTTTGGTTCTCTTTTATGGTTCATGGCTTTTGAGGGTGACTTTATGAATCTGAACAACCTCTCAACTAATGTCTTTTCATCAAAGAAGTTTTTTCCATCATCCAAAACCCAAGCTATGAGGGAATGCTCATAGTGCTTTCCATTCCCACCTCTGCCTGTCTAAATGGAAATCTAAAGTGTGGAAACAACGCTGGTTGTGTTGGCCGCACTTCTCTGTAATGAGACTTTTGTTCTAATTGTGTTCTGCTGCTTGACAGGAAGATTCAAACGGGCATTTGCCACCTCAGTTTATGTCATAAGTTGGAGTGTGTGGATGTTTTTTTCCAATTAGAACACTGGCAGGAACATTGAATCAGAACTTTCCCACTGATATCTCCGCTCTTTTTACATCAGGCCAGAGGTAGACATCAAGTAATAAACTGTAGATCAGAGCGTGCTGGCTGGAAGTGCTGGGCTTTCCCTGTGGCTGGTTTCTCTACTTCTGTATCACCAAAGACAATTTTTATTATTTTTTTTCCTATGGATTCTTTTTTGTTTTGTTTGTTTGTTTGTTTGTTTCACAGCTCTGTCACCCAGGCTTGAGTACAGTGGCACAATCATAGCTCATGGCAGCCTGGAACTCCTGGGTAGCTGGGACTACAGGTGCTCTCCACCATGCCTGGCTAGTTTTTTGTTTTTTGCTTTTGTTTTATAGAGATAGGGGTCTCAGTATGTCTCTTAGGCTGGTCTCAAACTCCTGGGCTCAAGCGATCCTCCTACCTCAGCCTCCCAAAGTGTTGGGATTACAGGCATGAGCCACTATGCCTGGCCATCCTATGGATTCTTTACCTTAAAACATTTTATCTGTCAAACAGACTGGTTTATTAAATTGTAATAAATTTATGCTTAAAGATAAAACTACCACCAAGCGTGGTGGCTCACACCTGTAATCCCAGCACTTTGGGAGGCTGAGGTGGGTGGATCACAAGGTCAGGAAATCCAGACCATCCTAGCCAATGTGGTGAAACCCTGTCTCTACTAAAAATACAAAAATTATCCAGGCATGGTGGTGGGTGCTTGTAGTCCTAACTACACAGGAGGCTGAGGCAGGAGAATCACTTGAACCCAGGAGGAGGAGGTTGCAGTGAGCCGAGATCATGCCACGGCACTCCAGCCTTGGCGACTCTTTATCTCAAAAAAAAAAAAAAAAAAAAAGAAAGAACTACCAGTCATAGCTTATGGTTAACATAAAATGTTAATATTACCTCATTTAATTTACTTAATTACAGCAAAGGAACCTGACATTTTAGTAAAGTAAATCTTATCTTGTAGGAATAGATGATTTCTTTCCGTGTTTTTGAAATACAGAAACTTCTGGATCTTGTTCCTCTCAGGGCATGTAATGGTGAGCCTGGATGAACTATAAAATACAGCCATTCCCAAACATTGAAGGATTACATAATGAAAGTTATGTGAATATATGGTACCTGTCTTGGAGTGCAGTCTCAAAAAGTATTGCTTGAATCCAAATCTCTAAACTTCTAATGACTCTTTAATAGAAATTTGCAGAGCATCCTCCAGCTTTCCTGTTTAAACCTACCTTCTGTCCACATATTGCTGCCAGTTCCTGCCATTTCCCCATTCAACAGACCCTTCTTCCCAGTCTCTTTCCTGTATGTGTCCCTACTCTCTACCTGATCTCTTTTATAAACTGATTTGAATACCTCTCCCTTTCAAATATTCTTTTACCTCTTGTTAGAAGACAATATAAACTTACTGTCATGAATGAATATGTAAAACAATGGCAATTTTTTAAAATAACCACTTTTCCACCCAGTTTTTTAGTTTATTCTGTGATTATTTCTAGTCATTCTATGTGTGTGTGCCTGTTGGTCATTAATCTGAGTCCTGCTCAAGTTGCGCTAGGATGTCTGTCAGCCTCCTCCCAACAGAATATGCGTTTCTGACTGTCTAGCACTCTAATATTACTCTTCTTGTTTGTTTGTGTTCACTCTCTGGTTGTACTACTGACCATTTTAGGGCTATGTTAGATGCCATAAATATTTGTATGACTAAATAGATCTTGGAGATTAGGATTCGAGGGAGTGATGATGCATTCTTGTTTATGGAGGTAGTACATTCCAAACCTATGTTCTTTCCACTATATTCTGATTCCTGTCAACTATATTATATGTAATAATTTCTTACCTACAGAATGAGAATGTTCAACTAAATGATCTGAGCATTACTTCTAGCTCTAATACCATATGAATCTCTCTTATGTAACCCCTTAAAACTTTGTGAGGTAAGTGGAACAGATATTGTTTTCCCTGTTATATAGGAAATGAAGAGTGAAGTGAGTTGGCTCAGTATACTGAAGTAGTTAATGATAATTTCCCACCGCCTAATTTAGTGTTGTTTGCACAAATATTCTAATTTTTGAACAGTCATAATCAAAAGTATCCTATTTTAAATCTTAAAATGTAAGGTTTTCTTTTTCATTGTTATGAGACCCAATCTAACTATAAGTGTAAGCAGTACCTCTGAATATCATTATTAGTGCCATCCACAAAGAAGCTGAAAAACTTAATGATCTAAGGCATTATCTATTTTCTACACTGTGGTTTTCTTTCTTTTTTTTTTTTTTTGGAGACGGAGTCTCACTGTGTCCCCCAGGCTGGAGTGCAGTGGCGCGACGTCGGCTCACTGCAAGCTTCGCCTCCTGGGTTCATGCCATTCTCCTGCCTCAGCCTCCTGAGTAGCTGGGACTACAGGGGCCCACTACCGCGCCCGGCTAATTTTTTGTATTTTTAGTAGAGACGGGGTTTCACCGTGGTCTCGATCTCCTGACCTTGTGATCCGCCCACCTCGGCCTCCCAAAGTGCTGGGATTACAGGCGTGAGCCACCGCGCCCGGCCGGTTTTCTTTCTAAAAGGGATAATACTGACTTTCTTTTTCAAGTATTAGATGTGCTGTGTAAAATGCCAAATTTGTAGCCACTGTATTATGCATATGGAAGTATGAAAGAGAACAAAGCCCATAGAAATGCTAATAGAAAGAGGATTCTGAGTGGAGGGAAAATCGTAAATAAAGGCCTATAAGTAGGAGTAAGAAAGATTGTTATGTGTAAGTAGATAATCAGGAAGATCTTTCTGACTTAAGCAAAGTTTGAATACTGGATGGGAATGAAAATAGTGGCTGCATTGATAGAATACTCTCAGGTTAAGACAGGGTCTTTAAAATTCATTCAGACAAGTCTGAATTTCATGAAAAAGAGACTCATTGTGGGTATTTAGTGGGAGACTGACATCATGAAGTGATGTGGGTTTGGTTGTTGTTGTTGTTGTTTTGTTTTAGAGACAGAGTCTCACTCTGTTGCCCAGGCTGGGGTGCAGTGGCTCAATCTTAGCACACTGCAACCTCCACCTCCCAGCCTCAGGCAATCCTCCCACCTCAGCCTCCCAAGTAGCTGGCTGTACAGGCGTGTGCCACCACACTCAGCTAATTTTTTTTGTAGAGATGAGGTCTCACTATATTGCCCAGGCTAGACAATGATGTGTTAGTAGAGAAATTTTACATCAATATGTAGGATGTATTGGAAGGGCAGAAACTGAAGATGAAGATTCACTGAGAGAGATTGCCATGAACTAGTCTTGCCATCAGTTATCACCTAGATAGAGACAGTGAACTTGGAGACTGATGAGTGAGTCTGAGATGAGGAAAGTGATTGAAGTGGAGTGGAAGGTTGAGGTGATCCTGAGATTTCTTACCTGAGGAATATAAAAAGATCATGTCCCCCCTGACCCGAGGGATAGCTGGAAGGATCATCAGTTTGTGGCAGGGAGGAATTCAGTTTGTGGTATGTTAAGTAAACTTAAAAGCAGTGGCGAGCCATCCAGGTGGAAATGTCCTCCTGATACAGACTTTCAGGGATAAACTAGGTAAGCTGGAATGCAAGGGAAAATAAACGCATGAGCATGCGAGAACAGTGTGTTCACCCCGGAAGAAACCTGTTTCTCTCTCAGCCTGTTCCTTATGTCTCCTCATTGTCCATACTTCTTTTTATGACTTGGTTTACATGAAATGGCCTTCACTGTTTGGTTACTTAAATTGGAAACACAACAAGACCATTTAATAATGTACTTAGCATAAAACATAAATACCCATCTCATAGTAATTTCTATATATATTTATAAAGAAAATTTTCTCTACAACAAATTGTGCACCAAAAATAATCTTAAATGTCATTTCATGGGCTTCCAATTGCCTACAACATGAAATTAAAATTTCCTCAGCCCCTGACATCCTTCACAACCTGTCCTCTGCCTACCTTTCAGCCCCATCTTACTGGCTACCCCCACTCTATTCCAATGGATCAGACCCTTTTTCACCTTTGTCTTTGCACATTGCTTAGTACTCACTCACACTGACACAACCCAGTCACAGATATCATTCCTTTCACGAAGCTCTCCTTAACCACCACCTTCCCTGCACCGTTGGTCTTCATTCTGTGTACTCAATATTCATCCCCTCTGTGTACAAGCATCACATTGTTTTGTAATTGTTTGATTACGTCTCTCTCTCTATTAACTAGAATGTGAGGTCCTTGAAGGCAGGAACCTAGTTTTATTCATCTGCATAGCCCATATGCCTGCTTGGCTCTAGACACATTGTAGGTATCTATTTTAACATTTGTATAGATTAATTACTTCTGTGCCATTAGGCAGAAAAGCTGTCTTAAAGACCAATTACAGAAAACACTGATTAAGTTGCAGATATACGTGTGGGGCTGGTGTGCTAATTTTCTAGCTCCTGAAGGCTGCAGGGCGCACATTTCATTAAGTGAAGCAAGCCTATGCTGAGTAGTGTGCTCTCCCGCACTTCAGCAGCAGATAAAAGTGCTTGCAGATGTGAAAGCAAGATCCTTCAGGCTTTTTTCACTATCAGAGCCTGCAGTTCCCATCTCCAGGAAGCAAAATAGTAAACATTTCATTTCTTTTGTTTCGGTGTTCCGATAGTTTTAAGAAATTATCAAACAAGAAAAGAAATCCTGGAGAAGTTGAAAGACACAGACCTAAGCAGATGTTCCTGGAATCTTAAGGTCGCACTTCTTGGGCAGAATGTATTTGTTAGCTTTACAAAGAGTAATCTTTTGTCAGTGTGTGGTTTTTTTTTTTTTTTCTGAGTAAATTAAAATTCATTCCTTAGGAAATGCCAATCGTGTTACCTTCCTGCTATTAAGTAGAATGGAGCTAATGAAAAGATGACCAGCCCACAGTAGCCTTAGATTGTTTTTTTGGTTGTTTTTTTGTTTTGTTTTGTTTTTGAGATGGAGTCTTGCTCTGTCATCCAGGCTGGAGTGCAGTGGTGCTATCTCGGCTCACTGCAACCTCCGCCTCCCGGATTCAATCGATTCTCCTGCCTCAACCTCCTGGGTAGCTGGGACTACAGGCATGTGCCACCTCGCCCGGCTAATTTTTTTGTATTTTTAGTAAAGACAGGGTTTCACCCCATGTTAGCCAGACTGGTCTCGAAGTCCTGACCTCAGGCAATCCACCTTGGCCTCCCAAAGTGCTGAGATTACAGGCGTGAGCCACTGCGCCTGGCCTAGATGTATTTATTTTTTTTATTTTTTTATTTTTTAGAATAGGTTTGACTCCCCATTCTGTGGCAACTGGCACTGCGTTAAGATTTGGATGGGTTTAGTAATTGGAAGATCTGCTGTGAATTAAATATCCTGGGGGAGACTCTTCTCGCCCATCTTTGTGTGTGAGAGACTCACCCTTGCTGTAAGCCTATTTAAAAGTCAAGTAAAACCACACATTTGCACTTAAGGTGTCTTCCTTTCCCCTGAAGTCACTTCCTACATTCTCTCTAGTGGTTGAGGTGTCCTGATGGGAGTTGGGAAGTTGGAAAGTAGGAAATCATGGTTGTTTAACCTTTCAAAATAGACCAGATTAATATCCACAATATGCCTTGGGATCCTTGCATTTGTCGCAGTAAACCTGTATTATGTCTTTCTTATTTCACTGTGTCAGACACTCGATCCAGGATAATGGACTTGCTTGTTGATGTGCATTAGTATCAAATTTAGTGTAGTGTATGGTCCATTTCATATCTTTCTGCCTCCCAAAGGAGATTCTTGCTCAAGAATAAAATTTTGATGAGTTTCTCTTAGAAAACAATGTGAATATAAATGTGGCTATAACGACAACTTTACTGACTCCCTGTGGGGTAGAATTCCCAGTAATAACAGATTTAGCATGTGGGCTGATACCTTTTTAGTATCACAGGGACAGCATTGTTTAGAGAAAACCTTGACTCCATTTGAATAGCACAGAGGATGCCAGGAGGAAGGCCAAAGGGAAAGGAAACGGGAGAGCTGTTGGTTTGTCTCACCCCCACATCAGATGACAGGAAGTCGGAATTGAGATTGGCCACAGCAACCTGTTAAGGCCACATCTGTTTGAATAACTTAAAAGCTCTATAGAAACCAAGTAAGTTTTGGAGTAAGGAATTTAAGAAGAGGATGAGGGGCAGAGTGGTAAGCAATAGCTTGGAGTGAACATCCTGCCAGGAATAAATTTCTTCCTTGACCATCTGTATTCTTTACTTGACTATACCCTAGAGTATAAACTGTTTCACAGCAACTGAGGTTGGTTAGTTACCCATAGCTGGATGATTTGTAGGACTGGCCGGGTTCCCCTGCCCTTTGTGAAACCGGCCTCAGTCGCATAGTTGTTCCACATTGTCCTAATGTTCAGTCATATCAGTCGTTGAAACTCTCAAGTGCTATGGAAGTATCACTAGCTGTGGTTTGATTAATGGTAGAGTTGCTTACAAGTGCAATTTGGGTCTAAGAATTAACTACAAAATCAAATAGGAAGATCTTCCAGGACTGTTTTTTGTTTGTTTGTTTGTTTGCATGAATGCATGTGTGTTTGTTACTTTGTTTATTTTTGAGATAGGGTAGGCTTTGGCTTTTGGAGGGTGGGTATGTGTTTCTAATGGAGTTATAGTTATTCACAAATGCTATTTCATTGCCAAGGAATTACAAATAAATAAATCAACACTATTTTTGAGCTTTTCAACAAAAGAAAAACTAATAGGGCTTGTAGGCCAGACAGCTGTTTGTAAGGTGTGGTTTTTTTGTTTGGTATTTTTGTGTTGGACAGATGCATAGCCATGACAATTCTAGTTCCCATTCCAAATAGAGGCAAACAACTCTGTTTGCCAAATAAACTAACATAGCAGTTTAGAGGAAGGCAGGGGGCTGGGGTGAGAGATTTCATCCCTGGGGTAAATTATCTCCTGCTTTTGTCTCACACTTCAGGCTGAGTGGCCAACAGAATTCCCAGAGCATACTCATGGACTCTTCTTTCTCTGCAGATACCACCTCCTCAAGCTCCTCCAGAAGTTTGGCAAAGTAAAGCAGTTTGACTTCCTCTTCCACAAGTCAGGTGCTTTGGAGGGACAGCCTCGAGGCTACTGTTTTGTTAACTTTGAAACTAAGCAGGTAATTAAGCTTTCTCCCCATTTTATAGTATTTATCAAACTCTGTCATAATTATTTGTGCATCTCTCTTGCCTACTAGAATAGCAGTTCCCTGTAGGCAAGAGCCATGTCTGATTCATCTGTGTGCCTTACATTGAGTCCTAAAAGAGATCCTCAGTAAACAAATGAATTAGTGACTTTCACAATTCACTCTCCCTTGGCCAAGGTTTAAGGCAACTGACTGACCTACATTTTTGACCAAATGCATTGGGATGCCCACATTGAGCACATGTACATCCCCCTCTCGATTCTCTTTTGTTTGTTGCTTTACTGGCTGGCCAACTGACAAAGCCTTCTTTTCTTTCAGTAGTTTTGCCCTGTGGTACAGAAACCTACCTGTGATGAGACACCCATAAAGACTCTTTATTATTTCTTCTCAAGGTCTCAGAACAAATGCATATAAATTTTAATGTATGTAGAAGAGAGCATTCACCTTCAACCATGATATATACATGGATCTCCTTGTATTAAAATTTAGTCCTTGAAGTGGAAGTACATTGATAAAGAAATTGAATTTGATTGTTACTAAATGTAGAGATGCTGCATAGTACTTATAAATTTATTCATCATATGTAAGAACATCGCATAGTTAATGTTATGTTAATAATTTGGGCCTGGCTCACACCTGTGATCACAACTACCCAGGAGGCTGAGATAGGGAGATTGTTTGAGACCAGCCTGGGCAACATAGTGAGACCCTGTCTCTAAAAAAAATTTTTTTAATTATGTATGATGGTGCACCTATAGTCCTAGCTACTTGGGAGACTGAGGCAAGAGGATCACTTGAGCCCAGGAATTCAAGGCTGCAGCAAGGTATGATCACACCACTATACTCCATCCAGCCTGGGCAACAGCGCAAGACTCCATCTCATAATAATAACAATAATTTGTATGAGTGTTTTTCTTTATTCTGAAATTAATGTGTGAATATTATAGATGAAAATATAGGCCGGGCGCGGTGGCTCACGCCTGTAATCCCAGCACTTTGGGAGGCCGAGGCGGGCGGATCACAAGGTCAGGAGATCGAGACCACGGTGAAACCCTGTCTCTACTAAAAATACAAAAAATTAGCCAGGCGCGGTTGTGGGTGCCTGTAGTCCCAGCTACTCGGGAGGCTGAGGCAGGAGAATGGCGTGAACCCGGGAGGCGGAGCTTGCAGTGAGCCGAGATCGCGCCACTGCACTCCAGCCTGGGCGACAGAGCGAGACTCCGTCTCAAAAAAAAAAAAAAAAAAAAGAAAATATAGATAACTGGCCGGGTGCAGTGGCTCACTCCTGTAATCCCTGCACTGTGGGAGGCCGAGGCGGGCGGATCACGGGATCAGGAGATCGAGACTATCCTGGCTAATATGGTGAAACCTCGTCTCTACTGAAAATATAAAAACAAATGAGCTGGGCCTGGCGGCGGGTGCCTGTAGTCCCCGATACTCGGGAGGCTGAGGCAGGAGAACGGTGTGAACCCGGGAGGCGGAGCTTGCAGTGAGCCGAGATTGCACCACTGCACTCCAGCCTGGGCAACAGAGTGAGACTCCATCTCAAAAAAAAAAAAGAAAAGAAAATATAGATAACTGAGAAAGAAAATGTAAATCACTTGGCCTAATACACAGAAATAATCACTGTTAACATTTAGTCATATATCTTTCCAGTCTTTTTTTGTTTCTTCACATTCACACACACATAAACACACATTATGCAGTGTTGTAACACACAAACAGAATCATATTATCATGTTTATCATTCAAAGTATACTAAAACTTTTCTACCATTTAATCACATCAAGATACCATTTTGTATCTTGATATTGTGGTTTCACTGGTGTTTGTATGTACCTGTGTGTGTGGGGAGGTAAAATCATTGATCTGTATCTGAGATTTGGGCATTTTGTGATTGTATGTGACTTAGACTGCATTTAAAAACTAATCATTTTTGATAACTACATAATGTGAATATATAATATTTGACTAGTCCCCAGTTGTTAGCTATTTGGGTTGTTTCACTGGTATTTGGGTTGATTCACTAGTATAAATATCACAAAAGTGAGTATTTTTACAGCTCTAATTATGTATATTTGCCACATTTGTGGAGATGGAATGGCATCATCAAAGTCCATGCATAGTTTTTCTTTTCTTTTCTTGTTTTTTTTTGTTTTTTGTTTTTTGTTTTGACAGAGTTTCACTCTTGTTGCCCAGGCTGGAGTGCAATGGCACGATCTCAGCCCACCGCACCCTCTGCCTCCCGAGTTCAAGCGATTCTTCTGCCTCAGCCTCCCGAGTAGCTGGGATTACAGGCATGTGCCACCATACCCCACTAATTTTGTATTTTTAGTAGAGTCAGGGTTTCTCCGTGTTGATCAGGCTGGTCTCAGACTCCTGACCTCAGGTGATCTGCCCGCTACAGCCTCCCAAAGTGCTAGGATTACAGGTGTGAGCCACTGTGCCCAGCCTATAGTTTTTCTTAATACAACTGCCAGATTGTCTTCAAGAAATGATATATCAGTATGTTCTGAGATTGTATGGTAGTGTCATTTCTCCTTGCCAGTGCTGGGTATTTTTTATTTCCTCTAATTTTTTAAAATATGATAGCCAATAAGTAATACATTGTTACTCTAATTGTTCAAGTATTTTGAGTGAAGTGAAATAATGCACTATATAATTAGCATTCTTTTTTTTTTTTTTTTTTTTTAGTACGGTCTTGCTCTGTTACCTAGGCTAGAGTGCAGTGACACAATCATTACCCACTACACCCTTGACCTCTGGGTTCAAGTGATGCTCCCACCTCAGCTGCTGCAATAGCTGGGACTACAGGCACATGCCAGCATGCCTGGCTAATTTTTGCATTTTTTGTAGAGATGGCATTTCACCATGTTGCCCCGTCTGGCTTCAAACTCCTGGGCTCAAGCAAACTGCCCTTCTCTGCCTCCCAGAGTACTGGGATTCCAGGTGTGAGCCACCACACCTGGCCAGCATTTTTAAATATTTTATTCTTTCTTAATGATAAAATGAAGTGCGGTGAGAATTCCTTTTTTTTTTTTTTTTTTTTGCCCCGAGACACGGTCTCTCTCTGTCATCCAGGCTGGAGTATAGTGGCACGATCACAGCTTAGTGCAACCTCAACTTCCTGGATTCAAGCAGTCCTCCCATCTCAGCCTCCCAGGTAGCTGGGACCACAGGCACACACAACCACACCGGCTAATTTTTGTATTTTTTGTAGAGTCAGGGGTTCATCATGTTGTCAGGCTGATCAAACTCCTGAGCTCAAGCAACCTGCCTGCTTCGGCCTCCCAAAGTGCTGAAATTACAGGCGTGAACCACTGTGCCCGGTCTGGGAATTGTTGCAGACAACTAAAATCAGTGGTCATGTTTGGGCATAGATGTTAGCTTAAAAACACTGGAGTAGAATACAAAGCCTAGTTTATATTTCTGGCTCTTTTATTTATTAACTTTGAGCAAGTCTCTTAACTTCTTTTGGCCTTGATTTTCCATCTAAGAAAGGAAATTAAAAATACATATCCTTCGTAACTTATGGGAAGATGGGAGAATAGATGAAAGTATAAGAAAACATAGTGGGCATTTAATATTTTCGAATATATGAAAATATTTGAAATAATGTATACAGGTAGAAAATTATTTTTAAAAACATTTAAAAATAAAATATTTAAAAATAAAATGCCCCTGCTGGCAACTGCTGCTACTTTGGAACTAATAGAGTGCCCTATAAGTTCTTATTCACCAAATGAAGCTTAAAAGAATAAAATGTTTCTTACCTGACACTCTAGCTTTGTGTGCTGTAGTGGGGCAAGGATGATTAGTGAATATCCAATGCCTACTACACAGTGAGAACTCAGTAAATGTTTGTTAAATGTCATACTGGTAAGTTCTGTAGGAACAAGAGAATCACCAGTAAAACCAGACTGGAATGCCTACTGGCTTCTATAGCCTCTCCCTGCTCCCTGGGACATCCTATTCCTCCTCTGTTCCTTAAGCATTTCTTCACCCTCACTAAACATGGGTTACACTTGGCCGAATGTCTCATGGATGCAAATGGGGCAAAGAAGGTTTGGCAGGATGGAAAGTACAGCCAGGTTTCCTGGAATGACCCAGAGTGACTGTTAGCCAGCTTCAGGAATTCCTTTCAACCATATTACTCCTGTGTCTGATGGGGAAAGGGTCAAGGAACTTTCGGTTCTGAAAACCAGGTGCATAGATTGACTCACACAGATACCTTGCTAACGGTCTGTTTGACTCACTCCTGCTTTTTCCGGCCTAGTTTCCTTGACTTCCATGCCCTTTAAAGCAATTATTCCTCACTATGAATCCAGAGAGTACGCCCTAGTCCAGGATATGGTTCCAGGGCCCTTGCAGGGAGTATAGTTTCTTGACATAGGAGGTGCTACCCTAGCTAACGGAAGTGTGTATATGGCTATCACCTAATGGGAACAGCACTATTACTAGCATATGTTAGGTGCATATCATATACTTCATGCTTTATATTCTTTGAGTCCTCACAGCAACCACTGAGGAATAAGTATCCATATTATCTATTAAAAATTATGTATTATTTATCTATATTTTACAGTTGACAAAGCTAGAGACACTTAAGTGAGCTGCCAAATATCATACTGCCAACAAATGACAGACCAGGATTTGAATTTTTGTCTGACTGACTTAAAAATTCACGCCCTTAGCCAGGCACAGTAGCTCACGCCTGTAATCCCAGCACTTTGGGAAGCTGAGGCGGGCAGATCGTGAAGTCGGGAGATTGCGACAGTCCTGGCCAACATGGTGAAACCCCGTCTTTACTAAAAAATACAAAAAAAATTAGCCAGGCATGGTGGTTCACGCCTGTAGTCCCAGCTACTCAGGAGGCTGAGGCAGGGGAATCGCTTGAACCCTGGAGGCGGAGATTACAGTGAACTGATATCGCACCATTGCACTCCAGAGCCTGGCGACAGAGCAAGACTCTGTCTCAAAAGAAAAAAAATGCCCTTTTTAAAATTCTGCCTTGTAAAATTGTAAACCCTTGCCAGTTATTTACCAAAAACAATTTGTTAGAAACTGAGCCATCAAAGCTAGTGAGGCCCTGTGAGAATACATATAGCTAGTTAAGCACTTCAGTTTTTAACTAACATCTGTCCCTTTCCTGGACAGGAAGCAGAGCAAGCCATCCAGTGTCTCAATGGCAAGCTGGCCCTGTCTAAGAAGTTGGTGGTGCGATGGGCACATGCTCAAGTAAAGGTATGTCTGAGAGGCTAAAAAGGCATCAAGCCTCATCCTAAATAAGCCTTCTGAAAGACAGTTATCCACTTACCCGTTTATGTCCCAATCTCTTCACGCCAGAAACAGCCATACTTCAGGCTCCTACTTGTATCTGCCATGTGTGTTACCAGATGATTTTCTTTTGAGAACATCTCAGGAGGGATTAAGTTCCTTGGTTATTTCTCTCCACATGCCCACAGATCCTGGTTTTGATTTTCTCATGTGGCCAATAATTACTACGCTCAGACCTCTGTCATTTCTTCAGGTGGAGGGTTCTTTGGAGGAAAAAAATGTATTTATTTTTAAAATCAGTTGCCATAGGCATTATTAGACTCTTCCCAGCCTCTGACTCTGGAGAGTTTGAATTTGTTTATTCTAAATGCTTGAGAAATGGGTAGTTTGTATGAGTGCTTAAAGCACTGGCATCTCCTTACTCCAGAAATCTTGGGAGTTACCAGGGTGTGGGTTCATGGGGCTTTGCAGTGCCTGTATTGTGTTTAAGTCCCGAGAAGCAGTAGGCTGCCCTGTGCATTCTGTAATTAGTCTCTTGGGAGAATGCACTAGAAGAGCTTCAGCCATTAAAAAAAAAACAAAACAAATGGCATTCTGTTCCAGCTGGCACAGAGGTGGTAAAGTGTGTTGACTGGAACGTTCCCAAGAGTTGATCTGCCTCCTTCTGCACTGGGGACTTGAAAAACCTGCGTGCACAAAGATTTGTGACAGTTTTGAGTTGGAACTGAAATCTTTAGCTCTAAGCATGGTTTTTGATCAGAGACTCTCTACCGCCTGCCCCAACAAACTTCCCAGTAAAGAGTCACAGAGACTAAACAGACATTTAAACTCAATATCCAAGCTGAAAAACTAAGTTCATATACTTTAGATCCTTCTGAGTATTCCAGGTAATCACAGAGCCTTCTCAATTTCTAGGACACATTGCCTTAAAAATAGAAACAACAAGGAGAATTACCAAATGCTTTTTTACTCAAGGGAAAATCAAGTCTCATTTACCAAACCGGTTTTCTGGTTCTGCATCTCATTGAAAAGGCATGCAAGAGAAATCATCCTCCATTCCTGTCTTTCATTTGAAAATCTCTTTGCCTCACGGTTCTCTTCTCCTATAAATCTTTTTTGACCAGAGGCTCCTGATTGCTCTTCAATATTATATTTACTTTTTACAAGAAGTATGTAGTTATCTGACTAGGGCATGGTGGCTCATGCCTGTAATCCCAGCACTTTGGGAGGCTGAGGCAGGAGGATGGCTTCAGCCCAGGAGTTCAAGGCCAGCCTGTGCAATATAGTGAGACCCTGTCTTTATTGTTTCTAATAAAATTTTCAAAGAAAAAAAAAAGTATGTAATTATCTGACATCAAATTAAACTACTACTTTACTGTAGAATGTTTTCTATATCAACAACTGAAAGCTGCTACAACTTTTATTCTTCACTCAGGCCTGTTAAGAGTTGAATGTTATGCTTGGTTGGTACTTTGCAAAATTTAAAGGGTTTTTTTGTTTTTTGAGATAGGGTCTGGCTCTGTCACCCAGGCTGGAGTGCAGTGGCAAGATCTTGGCTCACTGCAACCTCTGCCTCCCAGGCTCAAGCAATCCTCTCACCTCAGACTCCTGAGTAGTTGGGACTACAGGCATGTGCCAGCATGCCCAGATAATTTTTGGTTTTTGGTTTTTTAACAATAGAGACAGGGTTTTTGCCATGTTGCCTAGCCTAGTCTCAAACTCCTGAGCTCAAGCAATCTGCCCACCTGAGCCTCCCAAAGTGCTGGGATTAGAGGCGTGAGCCACCGTGCCTGGCCAGTTTAAAGTATTTTTAATAAAATAAATATTGTAAGAGGCGATATGTGACAGTTAAAATAAGAATATAAGAAGGCAACCCTCCTGTGTGTTTGTACCATCTGAGAAATTGAAAGTTGACATTTTTTTCCTACCAAATAAGGAGGAACTGATGACAAGATGGAAGCATCTTTTTCTAAACTTACAGCTTTTAGGCCAAAACTATGTGACGTTTTTCATTAATTCTAAATGTAAAGTAGTCCAAAAATTGTCTAGAAGTAAGATGATGCACTGACGGTATTAGTTTCTGAACCCACGCACTACAGTAAAGGGCTGGTTTTTGCCCAAGTGAAGTAATTTCTCTGTTTCTCATTTTCAGAGATACGATCATAACAAGAATGATAAGATTCTTCCAATCAGTCTTGAGCCATCCTCAAGCACTGAGCCTACTCAGTCTAACCTAAGGTAAGATGATGTACTATAGAAAGACACGGTAATTCAGGAGCTTCAGCCATATCATTATTCCATGTCTTCATAAAATAGTGAGTCTTCAGACTCTTAGAGTTTATTAATTTGACAAGAGATATGTTCAGTTAGTCTCCAGAATGTATACATTTCCTGTCCTTCCATCCACCTAAGGTCATGTAGTCCCCATTTACAGAATCATTCCTTCGAAAAACACTGGGTGTAGCTACTACACACGAACCCTTGTGCTTGGCACTGGAAATACAAAGACAGATCAGTCATTACCCTAAAAACAAGCATTTTAATAAGGCCTTGGGTCTCTTGGGCGTTTGTCATTATATACTAATTTTTACCCAATCTTAAGTTCCCTTATACAAATTTTTGGTTTGCAGATATTTGATTCTGTGTACCATTGCAACAGCCATGACAGTTTTGGTTCTAGTTTGTACGAATTATTAGTTATTTCTTTGAAGTTTAAAACAGGAGAACTAAGGGTTGGGTAGAGGAAGGGGAAATTAAGTGGATGGTTGAGCAGAAGTAGAAGGTGGGTTTTTTGTTTGTTTGTTTTGTTTTGCATTGTAGCCTAGGGAGACATTTTAGCAATAACAATATCCAAGATTTATTGAGCTTACTCTGAAGCAGGCACTGTGCTAAACATGTTACATGTAGTATGTCATTTACTTATGGCTGAGATCACACAGATGACAAATAACAGTCAGGATTCAAAGCCAAAGTCTATTAGACTTCAAAATTCAGTCTTGTAGTTACTATTTCAAAGAAGCCCCAGGCCATAAGTGCAGGACTAAAGCCTCTTCCGGGGTTGGGGAAGAAAATATGTGAAGGAGCATCAGTGATACATAAGGATCAGTAACCAACAATCCTAAAGTCAGGAAAGTGATGCCTGTTTGGGTGGAGCACCAAGCAGGGGGAATAAATGCCTTTCTTATATATTACCTGCACCAAGCAAAACAGATTTACAAGCATCTCATTAAACCTAAGGGAAGGTGTTCCTGAAATGTTTTCAGGAATGGTAAATTGGTAAATTTAAATTAATTTTATGGTTACTCATTTAAGTTTAATATGATTTTTTTTATTTTTGCTCTAGGGAATTAAGTGACTTCTATAGATTCACTGGGAACATATATCCACTGTGTTATTTTCCTCATGAGATTTGAACCTCCTTGATCACAGATTGATCTCCATGAAGGTTTTCGTAAATCTAACTCCTATTGGAAAGAGATGACTGCATTTGTGCTGGATGGTCTTCATGTTACAATGAACATGTCTTTAGTTTCTTATGATTTGTATATGCCACTTGTTTACAAGATAGCCTAGGGTTTTCCATCTATTTTTTTATCCAGAGGACCGCAGCTTACATCTCTCTATTAACATCTATGCCTAATGAGAGAAGGTTGCTTCCCTGTGACTCATACAAAATCAGTGACCGGCTGTGCCATTAATGGAAGAGGGGCCAGAATGCATCTCGGTAATACATCAGTGTTCTTTTTATTGTAACTTAGTTTTTAAATTTCTTGCCCATGTATACCTTTTGAGGATCTCCAAAAGGCCACGTATACACTCCTTCCAAGTTTTTCTCACTGGCTATAGACCGTTAACAGCATCAAGAATGGAAAATGAAGGTAGCCATAGGCCAAAAAATACCTACTCCCTGAGTGCTCTGCGTTCAGGTCCAGGGATGGCAATGATCTCAATCAAAAGCAAATTCCTCACCACTTCTCTAGGATCTCCTCTCCCTTCCTGTGTAATATAAGACTATTCAGCTCTTAACTTGATAGAGAAGAAAAAATGAGGGCTTTAGTGATAAGTTGAATTCTCACTGCAATTTGTTAACTGTGTGAACCTTGATCATATTACTACCTCTGCATTTGTTTCTGTATCTGTAAAACATGGATGATAACCCATGTAGAGCCATTGCAAGGATTAAAACATAATAAGTAGGTCAAGTGCAGTGGCTCATGCCTGTAATCCCAGCATTTGGGGAGGCTGAGGCAGGAGGATTACTTGAAGCCAGGAGTTCAAGACCAGCCTGGACAACATAGCGAGACTCCATCTCTACAAAAAAAGTTTTAGAAAATCAGCTGGATGTGGTGGTGTGTGCCTGTAGTCCTAGCTACTCGGGAGGCTGAGGCAGTAGGGTTGTTTGAGCTCAGGAGTTCAAGGTTTTAGTAAGCTGTGATGGCACCACTGCACTCCAGCCTTGGTGGCAGAACAAGACCCTGTCTAAAAAAAACAAAAACAAAAACAAAAAACAGTATAAGTAAAATGCTGGGCACTGTGCCTGGCTCATTGTAAGCACTTTGTAAATGATAGTTTTTATTAACACACATTCATCAATAAAAAGAGACTGTATAGGATTTCCAGAATGGTTTCTTTCCATTTTTATTCAGTGATTCGGGCGAAACCTGGGCTGTTGAGTCAGTTTGTATTCAAATCTCTGCTCTGTCATTTACTCGCTGTGTAACATTGGGCAAATCAACCTTTCTGTGCCTCAGTTACAACATCTGCAAAATAAGGAATATAACCTGTCTTATAATGTTGTTTTCAATTTTACAAGAATTATTTTTAGTGCCTACTCTCTGCCAAGCATTAAGGTGCTGAACAGTGTCTGCGTCTGAGGATTAAATGTAAAAATATATGAAGTACTCCTAACAGTGTCTGGGTTTATGTTAAAAATTTAATAGATGGCCAGGCGCGGTGGCTCACGCCTGTAATCCCAGCACTTCGGGAGGCCGAGGCTGGCGGATCACAAGGTCAGAAGATGGAGACCATCCTGGCTAACACAGTGATACCCCGTCTCTACTAAAAATACAAAAAATTAGCCGGGCAAGGTGGCAGGCGCCTGTAGTCCCAGCTACTCAGGAGGCTGAGGCAGGAGAATGGCGTGAACCCGGAAGGTGGAGCTTGCAGTGATCCGAGATCGCACGACTGCACTCCAACCTGGGTGACAGAGCAAGACTCCATCTCAAAAAAAAAAAAAAAACCAATAGATGGCTCAGACTTGATGTCTTTGTTAGAATGAGAGAATTAGTTACATATGTAAAATGTTTAAATGTTTGTAATTTAGTGTCTTGTTGCTTCTCTAATATTCCCAAGAGGCTCAAAGAGATGAACTATACAGGTATTTTCTGCAGGTATTTAGGCCCACTCTGATCCTCTGCTATTCTTTTTCCAGTGTCACTGCAAAGATAAAAGCCATTGAAGCAAAACTGAAAATGATGGCGGAAAATCCTGATGCAGAGTATCCAGCAGCACCTGTTTATTCCTACTTTAAACCACCAGATAAAAAAAGGACTACTCCGTATTCTAGAACAGCGTGGAAATCTCGAAGATGATGGTTGTGAATTACTGTAGCAGCAAAAGCAAATTGGTCTCCACACCTAAAATCGTCTGCCTTTGTACTTTGTAGATGTGAATGGTACTATTCAACGGAGCACAATCACATGTTAGCATTTGGTAACATAATGTTTTTGGATGTTCTTATGGATGTTTCTTCCCTGCACTATGTATGGAATTGAGCATCATCCAGAATAAATAGGATTGTATCCCAAATTGTGATTGGAACCCTGGGATGCTCTAATTGGCTGGTTTGTTTGGATTTGTAACTCCAGAAACATTCTATAGTGTGCCAGAGCAAAAGGCAAATACACAAAATGTTATTACTTAAATCAGGAAACTAAATATATTAGCATCTATTAAAAAATTGAGCATTTTTCTACGCTTATGTGTCTTTACAACACAAAGAAAAAGTAAAAGACAGGGAGGGAAGTGAGAGACAGATTTTAAATCATGTTCAGAACTGTTGTTCCAGAATTTACTATGGCAATCCCTCCAACTGGACTGAAAAAGAGAAAGTTCTTGGCAAAAAGGAGCTGATTCTTTGAGCAAATATTGTGGTAATCTGTTTAAGAATTATGCTTATTGTTTCAAAATCCCAGCTAGGAAAACATGGTGTATATCTTAAAGTTGTTCGTGTTAAAACTAGAATCAAATTTAATATTTTATACCACAACACAAGTTCTATTTGGAAATTGAACTTTTATTCTATAGCAATCATTTTTTTCAAATCTAGATAACCATGCCTTCTATAATAACAAATGTTGCTATTTTCATGGGACTTTTAAAATTACATTTATTGCATGGGATTGTTTTTATAGCATGAGAATGTTCTGTTTGGAATTATATCATGGTCAGTCTAAATAGAAAAAGCAAAATTTCTTTGAAAACCTAAACATTGCTGGATTGGTCACTATCAAACATACAATTTTCTAATAATTGTGTAGCGATCTAAGTGGAAGAGATTGGATTAACTTATGCAGGATGAGGAGAGGACATGCAGTGGGTACAGAAAGTCAATGGAACAGACGCCACTCTGGCACCAAGACTGTGATGACTTTGTGTGGTAGGTAGTTTTAAAGGACTGCATGCCTTGGAAATGATTCTTCACTTGGAGAACATACTTGCCTCTAGATATTTCACTCTAAGCATCCTAAATATAACAATAGAGAAAGATAAGTCAACCAACAGATTTGGGGATGTGTTTCTTCAGCACATTTTGGTCATTTTGGTGCCAAGTTTGACATACTGTTTAATTGGGCAGCACCTTTGCTCCTTTACCAGGTATGTATCACTTTGTTACTCCAGATGCCATCCTTGGTGATTACAGACTATTTATCACTATCATTGTTAGCAAGAGGAAGCTTTCGTTATAGGAACTTAACATCTTCCCATGAGTATAAATGAATTTAAGACATTTGAATCAAAGCTTCAGTAGAGGGAGGTTTCAGAATTCATAAAACTGGTTCAATGAAATTATTTTTACTTTTCCCAAGGTTAATCTTTTTAAATATCTCTAGACATCAAATACTTTCTGTATGTGTTAGCTGTGTCTGTCTATGATGCAAGTAACTCTCCTCCTATTTGGGGGATAGTTCAGAGAGGTAGGAGCATTATCTCCCATTTTTCTGGTGACTTCTTGGAGTATAGAATTCACCATTTTATCCATAAGTCTTCAAAGGGTAATGGTGGAGTAGAACTTACATAATGCAAAATAGTCTTCTATTTTTAATAGGAACTTAGAAAAAACTTAATATATAGAGTTGTTTCCTTTAGAAACCAGAGCTATTTATTTGTATTTAAAGCATTGTTTATTATTTGTACTGATTCTTATCCCTCTGTGAATAAATGTAAGATGGTGTCTGTGTGGTTATATCTTCTCTCATTCACTTAATGGCATATACTGCAGTTCTCTGACAGGCTTGTTTCCACTCAGGACTCTGGCCAGCATGTCCAGGTCGGGTGCTGCTTGTAAGTGCCTTCTCTGCAGAGGGTTCTGGCTAGAGTCAAACTCAGAGGCAACTCTCTTTACCCTTTATGCCTGCCTACCTCTGTTGTTAGAGATGAGAAGAGAGACCAGCTGTTTCCATTGCAAATGTCAATATTTGAAAAGAAGTTGTTAATGGAAATTTCTGCAAGTATCATACTATGTTTAGTCTCTCATAGTAGAGATTTCAAAAGAATAAATGTATGTATCATAAATATGCTGAAAGCAGTCTGATGAAAGGTTTTTAAATTTCAGGTGTTAACTTGGTCAACTCTGTTAGGAGGTTATCTGTACTTAAGGTAAAATTTTTCTTTGGTTTACTGGTTAGTTATTTTGGTTTGCTAAAATTATGTCACTTATAATTTGGGTTTATATACAAGAGTGAAGAATTGAAGGAAATATTGAGGAGAGAGGTATGAACTATTTTCTTCTCAATTCCTGTTTTATCAAATGCAAAATGTAATCCTAACCAGTTGATTTTCTATAATTTATATCTCAGTACTGGGGAGGAGTATCACATGAGGAAAGATTTTTCAAAGCATGTCAGCTGAGGCACAAGAATCGCTTGAACCCAGGAGGCAGAGGTTCCAGTGAGCCGAGATTGTGCCATTGCACTCCAACCTGGGCGACAGAGTGAAACACCATCTCAAACAAAAACAAAGCATGTCAAAAATCATTAGCACAAGTAGTATGAAACCAAGTATTCTGTAGCTCTGTCTCTTATTTATTAAGATATGCACAGTTTCCTGAATCAACAAATATATCTGTGATTCTTTTATACTACTATATAAAAGAATAGGAGTAATTCTTGCCTTATAAATTAAATGTTAAAGATTTCCTGTATGTAATCATTTGTTCCTAAAATATGATTTAGTCCCAGCATGTTTATCCTTGTTTTCTCTTTTTCTCTCCAGCTCTTATCTAGTCTGTCAACAAATCCTGTCAACTCTACCTTCCAAATGCGTCTTGAATCCAGCCATCTCACCACCTCCAACACCACCACCATTTTTGTTAAAGCCACTATCACATTTTTGTTAAAGCCACCATCATCTCTTCCCTGCATTACTACAATACCTTCCTAATTATCTGCCTGCCTTTGCTATTGATTCTTTAGGGTCCATTTTCCATACAGTAGCCAAAGCGATTTTTAAACAGTTATTTTAAGAATGTGATTCTCTTCTTGGTGGCTTTCCATCACCAAAATTCAAAGACCTGTAAGGCCCTAATGACATGTCCCTCACTACGTGTCTGACCGGATAGCCTGCTGTTCTCCCCTTGCTCACTGTGCTCCAGCCACACTGGCCTTCTTGCTATTCTTTGAATACAAGGGAGCTTCTACTTGAAGGCATTTACATTGGCTGTTGCCTTAGCTTAGAATGCTCTTTCTCCAGATAGCCGCAGAGCCCACTCCCTCACCTGACTCGTCTCTGCTCAAATGTTAATGATCAAGAGGCAGTCCCTGGCCTCGCTTTTAAAATTACAACCCTGTCGCTCTTCAATCCTTTCCTCACCATTTTCTCAAAAGCACTTACCCCTAACCAACATTATATCTAAATTTTTTTGTGTCTTTTTATTGGAATGTAAGTTTCATGTAAGCAGGAACTCTATATCACTGCTATACCCTCAGCATTTAAAACAATGGCTGTACATCATACATGCTCAATAAATATTTGTTGAATGAACTACAAGAATTCTGGTATTTGAGAGCCGAAGGGCCTTAAAGAGACTATCTCATATAGCCCCCTCATTGTCCAGATGAGAAAAACGAGAACCCAGAGAGACAAAGCGATTTGGCCAGGGTCACATGGTTAATGGGGGAGCTTTAGGTAGAACCCAGGCCTGCAAACATCTAGTCCAGTGTTCAGCAAACGCCTCTGCCACCTCATTTTGTATGCCTACAATTTAAGAATGTTGTTTTGTTTTGTTTTGTTTTCATTTTCAAGTGGTTGAGAAAAAAAGTTACATGTCTATATACACACTATATTGTGACATGAAAATGACATGAAATTCATATCTCAGTGTATGTAAAGTAACTATTAGAACACAGTCATGCCCAAGCATTTACATGTGACTGTTTTCCCTATATAACAGAAGAGTTGAATACTTACAATGAAGACTGTGGCCTACAAAACCTAAAATATATACTATCAGTCCCTTTACAGGAAAAATTTGCCGAGCCCTACTCTGAACCATATTCCATGACTGGAAATGTGTTTTCTAAACCACTGTAGAGTCAAAATTCTGGTATTAATGCAGAGAATAAAAGCAACAGATGTCAGAATGATGTGCACTGAATATTGTTTCTTAGTGTCTCTGACCCCTTTTGGGATAGAGAACTGGCTATGCCAGCCCTAGTGGCATCGCCGTACTGCTTAAGGCTATCAATGTGGGCTAAATCCTCTCATTGTCTCCGTGAGGAAACTAAGGCCGTAAGAACTTGGGCATCAGACTTGTAGCCCCAGCTATGTAAGCAGATTTGTCAGGATTCCCAGCTCAAGTAACAAAAACCCTACTCCAACTCCCTTACAATAGAACGTGTATTGGTTCATGTAACTGAAAAGTCCAGGTGTTCAATGATATGATTAGGAATCTGTCTATCTCTTGATTGTGTTTTCCTCTGGCTTAGTTTCATTCTCAAGCAGGCTCTTCTTTGTGGTCTCTGGAGAGGTCTTTTGAATCACCAGTTAAAAAGAAAAAAACAAAAACCCCAAAAAAAACCGATCTGTCGAAATTTATCCCAGTACGCAGGTCTGTATCTTCTTTCCTCTGCATGCAGTCTTACTTGGCTAGGATTACTGATTATGCTGAATGACATTTAATTTTTACATACCCTGTGACTTATCTAAACTGGAAGTATAATTTTAAAATTTCGCCTTAAAAAAAAAAACAAACTATGTGTTCCTTTTCTGAAAACAGGTCTATCCCATTTGAGAAGCTTTCTGGTGAGCGACCTCATCAGAAGGAAGGTTACTCATTCCTGAAACAGACGGCATTTGCCATGGGTGAAGCATGGAGGGTATAAAGATGATGAGGCAGGAGCCCTGTGCACTGTGATGTGCCATGATAAAGGGAAGACTCAGCAGCTTCAAGACGCCAGAGGATGGGAACCAGGCTGGGAATGGGACACGGTGACATAGGTGATTTCCCCTGAGCTGAGTGGCCAGTGTTTAATAAGCTGCGTAAGGGGTTTAAGGGGAACGTTGAACAAAGAACAAAGCCCCGAAGTGAGAGAAATTGAGATATAATCTAAGTAAGGAGTTAAGATACTTCCAAATACCTAGACCAATAGGATAAGCCAGGTTTATGACGCCTTCTACAGATCAGTCCCACTAGGCATTCTCCTAACCAGACTGAACTGTGCACCCCAAACATGATGGACTCTCCTGGATTCCCCTGTCCTTGTACAAGATGTGCCTTCTGCCTGGGAAGTCCCTTCTGCCCACCCCCATCACTTGTCTAACAGATATTTTCCCACCCATGCTCATTCCTCTAAAGCAGTTAGTTGTCTTTCTGCGTCTTAACTACCTGGGTCTGTTTTCGCACTTATCACTACATATGATGCGCTTTATAATTTAAAAAACTATTCTTACTGAAAGTAAGATGAGTTTCAGGGGCAAATTACCTCCCAGAAAGCAAACAAGTCAACTCTCTTCTCATAGATGGGGTAAATTCCAGCTGCTGTAAAATCTCCACTTCCAAGGATTCAGCTGCTATCCCTATGCTGATATCTCTGAAATTCCTTTTCCTAGATCCAGGCTCTCTTCTGAGCTGCAGACCCATATGTCCTGTTCACTCCTGGGCCCCTCCACTTGAATATTCCCCGGGTACATTGACTCAAAACTGAGCTCATTGATCCTTCTTGCCCTTCCTCAATTCCTCCCGTGTTCCGTGTCATTGGGAAAAAGTAAATAAAAAATTAGAAACCTGAGAGTTATCTCGGACATTTTCCACTCCCCTACTCCCTATATCCAGTCTCCTCAATGTTATATAGCTGATGATATTATATATTATACATTTGTATGTATTTATACCATATATACTACATATATATGATTCTATATAACATCATGTATAACATATGTAAAGTTGACCAGACATGGTGGCTCATGCCTGTAATCCCAGCACTCTGGCCGAGGCAGGCGGGTCACTTGAGGCCAGGAGTTTGAGACCAGCCTGGCAAAATAGTAAAACCACATCTCTACTAAAAATACAAAAAAATTGACTGGCGGCGGTGGCTCACACCTGTAATTCCAGCACTTTGGGAGGCCTAGACAGGCGGATCACCTGAGGTCAGGAGTTCAAGACCAACCTGACCAACATGGAGAAACCCCATCTCTACTAAAAATACAAAATTAGCCGGGTGTGGTGGTGCATGCCTGTAATCCCAGCTACTTGAGAGGCTGAGGCAGGAGAATCGCTTGAACTCAGGAAGCGGAGGTTGCGGTGAGCCAAGATCACGCCATTGCACTCCAACCTGGGCAACAAGAGCAAAACTCCATCTCAAAAAAAACAAAAACAAAAAATTAGCTGGACATGGAGGCACACACCAGTAATCCAGCTACTTGGGAGACTGAGGCACAAGAATCACTTGAACCCAGGCGGTAGAGGTCGCAGTGAGCCAAGATGGTGCACTCCAATCTGGGCAACAGAATGAGACTCTGTCTCAAGAAAAAAAAAAAAAAAGGTAAAGTTGATTAGGAAACTGGATGTGTTGTAGATATATGCATATGATCATATATAACATAATAAAGTAAAATAATAAACTTTTAATTATATTATTTCTGTTCATCCTCCTTGTTCCTGCAGCTTCCTCATCCCTTGTCCCTTAGATTATTAGTTAATAAACCTTCAGTATTGCTGCAATCAATTAAGTACTTGCCCCTTCAAATCTATCTTGAAACCAACTACTTAAGTAATCTTTCCAAATCTCCAACTTCACCATGTCATCTTCATGCTTACAAGCCTTTGGTGGCCCCTCATAGTTCCTATTTTGAAGTTGAAATTCCTTAGCATTCTATAGAAGACTATTTGTGAGGCTACTTGTAAGCTGTATCTACCCTCTGCTGTAAAAAGATTAATAGGGGAGATTTATTTTGAATAGTGTGGTCAGGGTAGAATTCTCTGAGGAGGGAATATCTAGCACCTTGAGGATCCCCACTTAGCTAGTGCCTTCTGTGTGCCCATTCCCTCAACTTCTTAGTGATAACAGTGATAACAATGATAACAATGGCTCTTGGTGGTGAAGAACTTAACTCGTTGATGCATTGTGGTCTCCCGGTATCGTCACAGCACTTGTCAATGGGTTATCTAATAATGCCCATTTTATGGTTGAGGAAACTAAGGCTCATAGAGTTTGTGACTTGCCTTCGGCCCCCCCACCAGTGTGTAATAGGGTCAGGTCATCAACGTAGGCCACCTGGCTCCAAGGCTGAAATCCTTAACCACTGCGCTGTGCAACTCCTGCAGGATGCTGCTTCCTGTGTCACTGTAGGCTTATAGACTCCAGCTTCCAAGATGAATCTAAACTCCTCAACACTCAGCCCCCCACAATCTGGCTCCTGTCTACCTCCCCAGCCTCATCTCCCTTTGTTGCCCCAGCAAACACTAACTGGGCAGTCACTCTTCATCCTGGTGCAGCTCCCTTCTGTGCTTGCTTGTCCACACTTACTCATCCTTCAAGATTTATCTGAAACGTCACCTCCTTAGGAAGCCTTCCTGATCCACCACCCGTAAGCCAGGTTAAGTGCCCCTCCTCCTTGCTTCTATAACACCCTCTGTAGCACCTGTCACATTGCACTGAGTTGCTGGCTTTCTTCTCTCTTAATAGACAGTGGGCTCCTCAAGGGCAGGGACAAGGACAGCTTCCTGTATTTCCTGGGCCTAGTGTGGAACCTGGTATGGAGTAAATGCTTCACAAATGTCTGCTTACCTGAACTTACTTAGTGAACGTCAGAGCTTCCTGGAAGGGGACTTCCAGTAATTATAATTGTTCACATTTGCAATAAGTTTTCAGATATGCAATATTGCTTTGCAATATACTTTGAGGCTTTGATTTGTCCCCTGCCTTCATAAAGAATTTGATGTGGTACCTACTAGAATAACAACCAGAAAATTCAGACAGTCCGTGCCATAATGATGGCTAATGTTTGTTGATCGACTACTGTGTGCCAGGCATATATCTGAGTCCTGTTACATGGATCATTTGCGTAGTTTTCACAACCATAGGAGTGGAACTCGGTTACCCCCACTTTACAGATGAAGAAACTGAGGCTGATGAGTGACTGAAGAACTTGTCCAGGGTTACCCAAGTAATAAAGGGAAGTGCCAAGGTTGACATCAAGGCCATCTGGCCCCAGAGTTTGGTGCTTCTCAAAGCCCTTTCACAGTGATTATCTTATTGACTCCTCTGAGATTGATATTGTCCCCAGATATTGATATTGAGAAAAATGAGTTTCAGATAAGTGACTTTTCCAAGTTCACCCGACAGGAGGTGGCTGGGCTGTGATTGGTGGTCTGTCTTATGCTCAGGCTCTCTCTGTCACTTCCACATCACTGATTCACATGTGCATTTTGCAAACAAGGACACTGAGGCCAGGAGAGGTAAATTGCCGGCCTAGGGTCGTACAGTTTTTACCCCATTCTGTGCTCTTTCCTCAAACAGGAAATACCTAGGAAGCTGATG